CATATTTATTATACAATACACAAAAGGAATGCCAAAGATGGGGGAGAGGGAAACGAGAGTGAGTGGCGCGCGACTACTGTCGACGACTTGTCAGCTTACCTACCGTGCTGGGTGCGGGGTAGGCTTGTCTGTCTCAGCCCGACTCCTTTGTCGTTAGGGTCATATCTACAGAACCACTGAACCACCAGAGAGAAAACAGACCGAAAACCAAGAGCCAAAGGCACCGACTCTTAGTCAGAGGGTCGGGGGTCGCTACAATGTCATGACAAGGACTGTGACCGTAACTGCGCCTCGAAGAATAACACTTCCACTATTGTTGTTGTAGTTGTATTTCTTACTTCTGCCTTGAGGTTGTTGGTAAATTTTTATTCTGGAACGTTTTTTCGACGCACTCGTCGTTTTCAAGGCCTGAAAATGGCTCAAAACTTACGAATTGCACACTATCCCACCAAACGCCTCCTCCGCTCTAGCGTTTCTGACGTTCTGTCAGGAACGCTCGGAAAACACCCAAAATTCGAAAGATAAGCTCACCTTTTACCACCGCGAAGTGTAGCAGGGTGCTACACACAGTCAGTACATTAGTAGCGAATGACCTTACTCTGTTGTCCTTATGCAATTTTGATATTGCGGACAAGCACGTTCGCTAACTATGGAAGTAACTTGCTTAGTTGCACAAATATCAAGAGATCATTTATGATTGAGATACCCTCATTTCGGTTGTTCATCTGTGATTTCTAGCTAAATCCAGAATGCTTCCAACGCTTTTCTCGACGAAATCTCCGTCTCGTGAGCCAATATCGTACACCTGATGTTAAAATCACTGCCATCATGCTGTTCTATTCTGTGTTTTCCTAACGGGGTCCACACAATACTGCGCCGTTTACCAGCTAGATCCTCTTTGACTCTGATACTGATAAAATTACCAGTTTCAATTATGAATTACATGCCTCATAAATTGAATCTGATAAATTACGCCCGCAGAAGCGCAATCTCCATTCTTACCATTTGGACATGTAACGCAACCCTCTGTCAAGCACTGCCTATCGTAGAGTCTGTTCCTCACAATTTGGCGTTTGATGTTATCATTCGGAATGTTGACTAGAATAACATCATCGCTCAATTGTGCCCGAACAATACATCGTTGTATTGCAGCAGATACCTTGTCAGAGATGAACGGCAAGCATAGAGGAAGTTGTTCTGGCGCGAGGTGTTCCTGCTGTCAACGTGGGATCTTCCAGTGTTATGTGATACCATATAGCCGTTTGACCGCGCTATACCGAAGCTAGTCGTCTTGATTCATTCCGTCCGGCTACATCACTGCACATGCGCGTAGCTGTTCTATACATGTTCCTAATAACAGCGCGTTTAACAGCGGACGGATGTGCAGATGTTATGTGAACTTCCTTTTCGGTACCACTTCACTTGTACGATGCCGCTGGACACTCTAACCTGTGTGGGGAGCCAACCGTCTTTTGGTTTCTCTCGTGTGAAGCTGATGTACGTTGACTGCTCATTCATTATACGGAAACACTCATCCATTTCGGACTGTGTCGAAGTCACAATGAAGCAGTCATCTATATACCTACAATACATCAATGGTAAGCGTGCCAGTACTGACTCTTCAATTCTGCTCACGAAGCAGATCGCACGTACGGGAGCTAATAAGAATTCCGGACTCAACGCTGCTAATTTCGAAACTCTTCAGCTAGGCTTAAAGGCACGAGTCGGGATTGAATTGATGCGTTATTTTGTTCAAACATTAGGCAAGGGTGCAATGAGGAACATTAGTGAGGAGAAAAAGCAAAAAGCACCATAGAAAACACTAAATTTCCCTTAGGAGGCCGGCCGTAGTACGACGGAGAGACACAGCGCTGCGAGGAGAGGGAGAACGCGAGATAGTACGTCATACGCGAGAGGACGCAGAGACCACGTATGCCGTGGTGGATTACGCTGGCAGCGCGGGCAGCGCGGCGGGCAAGGCCTTAGCGCCATTGCCGCGCACTTTTGGGTCGCGATAGTGTCGCGCCCTCAGTGCTTGGGGAGCCCACTATCGCACCCTGGGAAGAACTTCTGCTGGTTGCCTAATCCTGACTCGTGGCTTTAAGCTAGCAGCATCATGAGTTTAGGGTAAACTGTTGGATGGATAGGTGCTCGTTGTCGCCCAGACTCTCAATGTGTCGTATTACCTGCGACACATCCCACACTGTATTGTATCGTGGTTCGAGGAGGCGCAGCCTGAACAGTCTTTTCATGAATTTTGTTAGGAGGAGTTGGTCATCCTTGCTCAGTTTGAGGGGGGAGAGCAAAGTTCATCGGCGGTGCGTACGCGAGCGCGTGCCGGTGGCGTCTAAATGGACGCCGCAGCTGCATCTCAGATTCGAGGGAAAAGCGAACAGTGGCCGCCAATTT